CATGTTACTTTTTTATTTCATTTATACTCCCACATAATATATTTAATTATATTTTTATCCTCAGAATTTATTATTTATTTTATTAAATATAAAAATTTAATTTATAATAATTATTTATTTAAATACAAATATAATTATATTGGTAAATAATTTAATTTTTTTTATTATATACTTCTTATATACCATTTACTATTACAAAAATAGGTAGGAATAAGTTAATAATTTAATTAAAAATATAACTATACTATTCTATCATCCAAACAAAAATATGTTATTAACATACATTATTAATACAATTATCCAAACATAAAAAAATTTTATCATCTTCATCCTATGTCATTGTCATTCAATTACTGTTATTACCGTACATTAATTAATCATTACTAAAATTTATTCAAACAGGTATAAGGATAAAAAAAAATTACAAAAAAGGAACAAAAAGGTCTTTTTGTGAACATTTAGGGTTAGGATTTCTTTTATTGTTACAAATATGTCATCACCAGCGGCCGCTAGGACCAAAACAGCCGCGTGATCTTTGCCGGAAACATGGGGTTTAAGCCAATAAAAGGACTATCCATCTATGCTTGTAATCATCATCGAAAAAGAAATAAATTTGTCTCCCTAATTTTCTACAACTCCGGTCTTCTTCTCTTCTTTTCCTCTTCTTTTCTTCTTCTTCAATTTCATATCAGTACCATAACCAAGGTATCTGATAAGTGCCTCTCGTCCACTTCCATGCTACTTAAATATTTAACTAATAGTAGCCTCGAAGAACCATTTACAAAGCTTTTCTGAAAGTGGAAGCCACAGAGTGTTAACTTGCTCCTTATCGTTTGTACAACCCAGGAATACCCATGGTTGTAAAGTCAATCGGGTATTGCCATTCTAATTGCTGAATCGTCTCCAGGAGACAAATATTTGTCCTCCTGCCCAGTAAGTGAGGAAGCTGGCACAAGCAGCAAGTTGCTCAAGATGTTATTGGTAATCCTCCACATTGCCAATTTGGCACAACCTCATATGTTCGCCAGGTTGTTGCTCCTTACTGGTGGCAAAAAAGAAAAAAGAGATTAAACTCTTCTTTAAATATTTCCCAGGACATCTCTGGATGATCCCTCTCCAACTTGAGGAACCAGTGTTTTACACCGCCCTCCAAATGATATGAGGCTAGGTCAACCTTGTCCTCCTCTGATGTATTTTATTGCCTGAAGAAGGGTTCACAAAAGTTTAACCATCCAAAGGAGTAACATATACCACCAAAAAACAAGGAGATCAAACTTGGAGAATCTGATATCTATCTTTTTCCCTCTGCAGTTTCAGCATTTCCCCACTCCATCTATTGTGCATGTCCCAGTTAACACTCTATTCCCCATGTCTCGTCCTTCTACATGAGCCCTACCAAGTCTTTTGACATTTCCTCTATCTACTTAGACAAATCCTATATAGTCTCAAATGCATACCTATCTTGCTCTCTTTCTGCCGTATCTCTTGTTCTGTACTCCTGGTACATCTTTGAGAAGGTATAAGACTGTAAATGGAAGGACCTGAAGCCTACCATAATGTCCAGCTATTATACTATTTTATGGCGGCGAGAAGTACATCAAGTTATGGTTGATTAAGGGTAAAAATCCCGGATAAGGAGAGCTGAGTGCTTGTCATTTTCTTCCTACAACTTTATTTTTTAAAAAAAGTTTCTTCCTATAACTTGGCTATGACTCATCAAAGAAACCCTTGGATCTCCTAAAGGCAGATCCTCTAAAACCTTCAAGAGAAATTGTTAGGATGATTTTTGCTGTAAACTGAGTACATATGTAAGGGAGGTATTGCCTGCGCTCTTTCGAGAACCAACAATCTGATAATCCATGATTTGTTTCATGCTTTCTCCGTAGCTAAGTGTCAGCAGCTTTACAAATTAGCCCAGAATTCTATTATATTTATTAGACAATTAGAACATAGGTAAAGTAAAAATGACATCTGCATTTAATCTTGTAATTCTAACCCAAAGAGAGTTTACTTGAATACGTCGCAACTAGGATAATTTTCTAAGAAGCTGATCCTATCTTATTGACTGTAGAGTCTTACCTCTGTGAGTATCTTCAGTTAACAGATCTGCATTTTCCTTATAAGATTAAGCCTCCCAAAGTTTTGATTAAAATAAAAAATAACAGCTCACTATTGGACCTCCCATCCGATGGAAGACTAGTATAGGAACCGAAGGTAATATCATTACCAGACAACAAAACAGGATCCTTCCTCTACCATGTATTTCCACATCTTTGCATGAGTGTATGTGTTAAAATTAATGATTTTTTCTGTTAAGTTCAAATTCAAAAAATAGAAATCCACCGTGAGGATGTTTCACGGAAGGATACGTAAAATCTCATGCGATGTGTATGCATAATTTTCGGACAATCTGATTTGATCGATTGATTAATGTAATCCGTTTAAATTTGTATTGCTATATATATATGACGAAATAAAGAAGAAGATAACTCATTCTCTCCAAAAAAAGCACGCCTCTTCAGAACAGCAAAATAGAGGCAGTTGCATAAGCTTGCTCTATTTTGCTGCACTCTCTCTCCTCAACTTTCTCTCTCTAAGTTTGTTCATTCACAGAGCCTCCTTTGAAGCTTATTCTCTTTCAATCAACAAGTGGTATCAGAGCTGTTATCTTAAGGGACCTGTAAATTAATATATCCTCAAAAATCCAATGACATCCACTGGAACAACACCCCCCTCCACACTTCAATGGAGAAAACTACCATGTATGGGCAATCAAAATGAGAGCTCATCTGAAAGCCTTAAGTCTGTGGGATGTTATACTGGATGACAGTAATCCTCTTCCACCAGGGGACACTACCACTATAAACTAAATTAGAAGGCACGAGGAAGATAAAGCCAAGAAACCAAAGGCAATTGCTTGCCTTTTCTCAGCCGTTTCGGATAGGGTATTTTCAAGGATTATGAACTTCGAATCACCAAAGGCTGCTTGGGAAAAACTTAAGGAAGAGTTCGATGGGAGAGTCAGAAACAGGAAGGTAAAAATCCTGAGACTGAAGAGTGAGTTTGCATTACTCAGAATGCAAGAAAATGAATCAGTGAAGGACTATGCATCCAAATTCTTATCAGCTTGCCCCCCAAATTCGAGTCTAAAATTTCAGCCTTGGGGAGCCTGCAGACATTGAGAATATCTCCTCGGCTGAGCTGATAAACAAGCTTCAATCCAGTGAGCAACAGGTAAATATGCATGTTCGACAACATACTGAGGGAGCCTTAATTTCAACTCAGAACAAAGGCAGCTCTTCAACACAGAATCAAGGAAGAAGGAGTGAATGGAATCAAACTGGAAACCAAAATCCCAGTAAACAAAAGAAATATTCTGAGTGCAGTATCTGTTCTTTGACAAATCATTCTGAAAATGAGTGCTGGTACAAGGGAAAGAAAACCGTTCGGTGCAATTTTTGCAAAAGGCTTGGTCACAAGGAAAGATTCTGTAAACAGAAACAGAAGCAGGAAGGATCACGACCAAAGCAGGAACAACTGCAAGCCAATATCACCAAGGTGTCCTGTGAGCCAAGTGACACAATTCTCGTTGCACTAAGTAGGCTGCCAGTGGAGGATGATACTCTCTGGGTGGTAGACAGTGGATGCACCTCCCACATGTGCAAGGATGATGGCTTATTCGTATCACTTGACAGAATAATCACAGGCCAGGTCCGACTTGGAAATGGTATGCTGGAAACCATCAAGGGCAAAGGCAACACAGCCATTGAAACCAAGGAAGGTAGGAAACTTATCACTGATATAAATTTTGTTCCTACCATCTCACAGAATCTTCTCAGTGTGAATCAGATTACTAATTGAGGCTACTCGGTTGGATTCAAGGATAACTACTACAGGATATATGATCCTAAGGATCGTTTGATTGCTTCTATCCAAAAGAAGAATCAAGTCTACTCTTTGAAACTCAGAGAAGTAGTTGAGAAGGCCAGTGTTGCCTCTGTAACTGAAGGTGAGATTTGGCACAGGCGCCTTGGGCATTTTCATGCGGTTGGGCTACAACAACTGCAGAAGGGAGGTCTAACCAATGACTTCCTAAATATTACAGTTACTGAGACAGTATGTGGTGCATGTCAGATGGGAAAATTGGCAAGGAATTATTTTCCTTCGCAAGCAGATTGGAGAGCAAAAGATAAGCTGGCACTTATTCATTCGGACATTTGTGGTCCAATGACAGAAAACTCCATGAGTGGTTGTAGGTATTTTGGCTTGTTCATAGATGATTTTTCCAGGATGATTTGGGTTTGTTTCCTGCAGAATAAATCTCAAATTTTTGGTGAATTCAAGAAGTTCAAGGCTATTGTAGAGAAGAAAAGTGGCAGTGTACTGAAGTGCCTAAAGACAGATCATGGGCTTGAATTCAATTCCAGCCAATTCAATGATTTCTGTTATGAGAATGGAATCAAAAGGCAGCTCACGGCACCATACTCTCCTCAACAAAATGGTGTCTCGGAGAGGAAGAACAGAACCATTGTGGAAATGGCAAGAAGCATGCTTGCTGACAAACACCTGCCTAAAGCCTTGTGGGCTGAGGCAGTGAACGCTGCTGTGTTCCTGCTCAATATGCTGCCTACAAAGGCTGTAAACCAGATGACACCGGCGGAGGCCTGGAGTGGCATTAAACCATCAACTAAGTATCTAAAGGTGTTTGGATTCGTGTGCTATTACCATATCTCGGATGACAGGAGATCCAAGCTAGAAATGAAGGCTGAGTTGGGAGTATTTTTGGGATACAGTACTGAAGCAAAAGCATATAAAGTTCTAAACCTAAAAACCAACAAGCTTATGATTCGAAGAAATGTAACGGTGGATGAAAATAGCTACTGGAATTGGGAGAAGCTGAAAGTCGAAAGAGACTGTGTCACAGTTCAAGAAGGAAAGAAATCAATGACGGTATCAAACCCAACTCAGAGTGATGAACAAGATGAAGAAGATGAAGAAGGTGAAGCAAAAGGGAAAATAAAATTGAAAAGTCTAGCTGACATCTATGAAAGGTGCAGCTTTGCCTCAAAAGAACCTTCCTCTGTTGAGGAAGCACTTCAGCAGCAAGAGTGAAGACTTGCCATGGAAGAGGAAATAAGGATGATTGACAAAAACAATACTTGGTCTCTGGTAAAATTAAGTACAAATAAAAAACTAATTGGAGTAAAGTGGGTGTTCAAAGTGAAACTCAATCCGGACGCGACAACAAACAAGCACAAGGTACGGCTTGTGGCAAAGGGATACTCCCAGCTTCCAGGAATCAACTACACAGAAACCTTTGCTCTTGTGGCCAAATATGAAACAATTATACTCATTCTGGCCATGGCAGCTCAGTTTGGTTGGAGTGTGATGCACTTGGATGTGAAATCGGCCTTCTTGAATGGTAAACTGAATGAAGAAATTTATGTTGAGCAGCCACCGGGGTTTATTCAACTTGGAAAGGAGAGTCACATCTATCTTCATCATAAGGCCCTATACGGCCTCAAACAGGCTCCACGAGCCTGGTATGATAAGTTAAATACATACTTACTTCACTGTGGGTTTGAGAGAAGCATGACAGAAAACACACTGTATGTGAATAAAGATGAAGACCGACTTATCACTGCAGTATATGTTGATGATATATTAGTGATACGCAGCAACAAAAGGAAAATGGAAAAAGAATTTGAGATGTCTGATCTTGGGGAAGCTACCTACTTCCTGGGAATGGAGATTCAACAAAGCAACTTGGGTATTTTTCTTTCACAAGGCAAGTATGCCAAAGAAATTCTAAATAAATTCAACATGAATCACTGTAAATCAGTATCTACACCACTGGTGTCCAACCTAAAATTGTCAAAGGACGAAAAAGGTAGCAAAGTTGAAGAAGGGAACTACAAAAGTCTGATTGGGAGCCTTCTGTATCTCACAGCTATCAGACCAGATATTTTGTTTGCAGTGAGTTTACTTTCAAGGTACATGGCTTCATCGAGGGAATCACACTTACAAGCTGCCAAACATGTGCTGAGGTACTTGAAAGGAATCTGAAATTTTGGTGCTCAATTCAAAGCAAGAGCTGAGGGTGGATTAGTTGGCTACAGTGACGGTGACTGGGCATAAAGTGTAGAAGATGCACGTAGCACAACTGGGTACTTGTTCAAACTAGGCTCCGGTGTTTTTTCATGGACATCTAACAAACAGGATACTCTCGCTCAGTCTACAGCTGAGGCTGAGTATGTAGCCGCAGCTACAGCAACTAACCAAGCAATTTGGTTGAGGAAGGTGTTCAACGATCTTAAGCTGGACAAACAAACACCTACAGTGTTGTATGTAGACAACAAGTCTGCAATTGCCATTGCGAAAAATCCAGTAATGCACGAGAGAACTAAACACATCAACGTTAAGTATCATGTTATACGTGAGGCTGAAAGGAATCAAGAAATAAAGCTGATACATTGCTCCACTGATGATCAGCTTGCGGACATTCTAACCAAGCCTCTGTCTAAAGCTAAATTTGAGGATTTGCGGGAAAAGGTGGGGATTGGTAAAAAAAGTCATTAAGGGGGAGTGTTAAAATTAATGATTTTTTCTGTTAATGTCAAATTCAAAAAATGAAAATCCACCGTGAGGATGTTTCACGGAAGGATACGTAAAATCCCATGCGATGTGTATGCATGATTTTCGGACGATCTAATTTGATCGATTGGTTGATGTAATCAATTTAAATTTGTATTGCTATATATATATGACGAAATAAAGAAGAAGATAACTCATTCTCTCCAGAAAAAGCACGCCTCTTCATAACAGCAAAACAGAGTCAGTTGCATAAGCTTGCTCTGTTTTGCTGCCCTCTCTCTCCTCAACTTTCTCTCTCTAAGTTTGTTCATTCACAGAGCCTCCTTTGAAGCTTATTCTCTTTCAATCAACAGTATGTATGAGGGAGAAGCAGGGCAAGGAATAGAGAGGGAGAGAAACAGAGGGTGCTGGAAGGCAACATGTTTGTGTATGCTGAACATGGGACTACAAATTCCAGCCATTAGAATTACCTGTGGCAAGCATAGGATCTGCCAAAAACACTCGTGAACCTTCAGAAAATTTATCCGGCAACCTAGAAAGAAGGTAGTAGGATGTTTGAAAGCAGAAAACAGAGCAGACAGTTAATATTATATATGAACAATGAGACTGAAGAAAATAAGAAATGAAGAATCAAGAAAGTAAGCTCTGATTTCTCATTTTTAAGCTAATAGATAACAGAGATACTTGATTTAGGAAGATCTAAACTAAAAATAACTGGTTTTGTAACGGGGAATTCTTACTTATTCAAATATACAGTTGGCAAAAGAGTCACCTCATCTCTGCCTATTCCTTAATATATGGGAAGAAAAAAAAGGACGCAAAGATTAGATATTAATGTGGCTTACCCAGATGCAAAATATAATTCAATCCATATGCATGACCATTTCCCAAATGCTTACCCAGATGGTATGTTTTGGTTGCAGGCAATACTGATGATGCATTCTCCACAAGGGCAAGGCCAGCTCTCAAGATGGGAACAACCTGAGACACTAAAATGGTGAAGTACTAATTTTGACCCAGCATAAAATCTCTGCTCAGGAAAATTAGCCCTATATGACCATTAAAAAAGCTCGACGAGTGCAATGCATAATAAATTATAGATGCTGAGTGGCAACAATGATAGAGAAAGACAAAAAAAAAAAAAAAGAACTAAAAAGAATTGCCGCTAGAAAACTAACCGCCACAGGTTCCCTTGGATCAATAAATTCAACTGATACAATGCCCGTTGATGACTGAATCTCCTCTGTCACAGTTGGCTGCCAGCAGTAGCTCAAGGAGATGTGAGGGAGGGATGAGAAAGAAAGTTGTAAATGAAAAGCTCACACAGCATAACAAAACAAATTGTGTGCATTTTCCCACTAATATCTGCATGATTCTTTATCAGAGACCTAAAAATTTCCAGTTTCTCTATATATCACATATTAGAGGAGGGGAGAGAGAGAGTTGAGAGAGGAAGCAGTTAAGGCAAAACAACTACAACTTGAATTTATTTTCCAAGGTGAAAATTGATTAAGCATCAATGACAATGAAAAACCTCAAACAAAGCTTAAATATCCGACATTTAAGATGTTGTGCGACCCATGACTCATGTTTCTTCACTAAAAGAATTCAAATTCTAAAACGCATTAATCATCTGTTTTTCTACACTATTTTTCTATTAAGGATTCTATTTTGATTCTAGGGGTTCTAGTAAACTTTTAATAATCGATTACGAGAAACGACTTCCAATGAATATATGTAATAACCCCGAAAAACTTTAACTAACTCAAGATTGTAAATCAAGCAAGTAATTCAATTAAAAAAATATTTAAGATAAATTGTGTATTTTAATTTGAGGAATATTAGAAAATTTGTATATGGTGATAATCAAGATACAATTTTTCAATAATTGAGGTAGTTTAGATAATTGTACATTGAATAAATTTCAGTTGTTCAAAAAAAAATTTACAATCGAAAAAATTAGTAAAAATAGTAAATTTTACAAAAGAAAAAAAATTATTGTCCAAAAGAATAAGAGAAAAAAATTTAGTGGAAAGAAAAATAGGAAATTTTGAAAAGCTAGTGTTTTTCCCCAAAGTGGGAGAAAAATCCCCCAAATGGGAGAAAAGTTTTCTCACTTGGGGCCGTCCATGCAGAAGAAGCAATTGGAGACGCTGCAGATGGTTGGCCACGTAACATCCACGAACGGCCAGGATCCGCTGCATGTAATCCAAGAGCCGATATTCCTCCATAAACTCCATATATAAGTCTCCATTTAGGATGCTTATTGGGGATATAAGTGTTAGACTCACAATCCAATTATTCGTATAATATATTAAATATATTATTATTTGATAATTTATTTTAATATATGACAATATTATTTTTATTAATCATATTTATTATATTATTGTTTAATTTATGTGATAAAATTATTGATTAAATTTATAAGTTTTACATCAAGATGAAGATCTAGATAATGAAAGTAAAATATTTTATAATTTAATTTAAAATGTTATTAAGCATTGGATCATTAAAATAAGACATTAATGATCTAGTAAGACTAATATATATGTGATAATTTCTACAAGATAAAGATTAGTTGACCTCATTAATTAAATCACATATATAGATGATGCATATGGAGATATGATCATTAAACTGACCCAATTGAGAATTTATAATGGTTAATATTACCTTAAACTGTTAATAAAGTATTCTCTCATTTTGATGAGACATAAGAATTTTGTTAGACTTGAAATCATCATAATAATTTACAAGTCATTTATTATACTTTAATTCT